GAAGGTGTTGGCTTTCTTTAAGACTTTAAAGAAAGGTAAGGCCTTCTCAGCTGATCTGGACAAGAACCGGTTTAGGGCCGCCAGGCGGCCCGTCAATCTCTGGACATCCCTTACCGAGGTTGGGGGTTGCATCTCAACAATGGCCTTGATCTTCTCAGGATTTGGCTCAATCCCCCTCTTCGTAACCATGAAGTCCAAGAACTTCCCCGTCCTTACGGCAAAAACACACTTCTTTGGATTAAGTCTAAGATTATGCCTAGCCATAATCTCAAAACATTTTTCCAGGTCTTGAGCGTGTGTGTTGGTTGTCCTGCTTTTCACCAGCATATCATCGACATAGGCCTCCATGGTCCGTCCAAGTAAAGGCCTGAACAATTTGTTGACCATTCTCTGGTAGGTCGCCCCTGAGTTTTTCAACCCAAAGGCCATCACCTTGTAACAGTATGTCCCATCCGGAGTGAGGAAGGCCGTCTTTTCCTCGTCATCTTCCGCCATGAAGATCTGATGATACCCTTTCAAGGCATCCATGAAACTTAGCAGCTCACACCCGGCGGTTTCGTCAACCATTTGGTCCGGGCTAGGGAGAGGATAAGAATCCATTGGGCATGCCTTGTTGAGGTCTGTGTAATCTACGCACATCCTCCAGGTATCACCCTTCGGAGCCAGGACTACATTGGCCAGCCATTCAGGGTAGTTTACTTCCCTGATATGACCTACCTCAAGTAGGTCCTTAACCTCCTTCTTTACAAAATCTCTCCTCTCACTTGCCAAGAATCTTTTCTTCTGTCTTACAGGCCTAGACCCCTCAAGAACAGAGAGACGATGGCAAATGACTGACCGGTCAATCCCGGGCATATCAGCAACACTCCAGGCAAATAATGATTTATACCTGGTCAACACCTGGACAATCTCAGTCCTTAGCTCTTCTTGAAGGTCAGCCCCAATTTTGACCTTCCTCTCAGGATTGGAGGCATCAATCTGGATCTCCTCCGTGTTTGCATCCGGCTCGATCCTAGCCTTCTCCTCACCCTTGTCTACCTGCTGGGAGACCAATTCAATTTGTTCGAACTGGCGGGTCATCTTCTTGACTGCTTCCAGGTAGCAGGACCGGGCGTTCTTTTGATCACC